GGGAGAAACAGAAAAAATAAAAGAAATACCATTTGACCAAGCAATTCAACTACTGGGAACATACACTAAAGAAACCACAGCTACAACTCAAACAGATGTACACACACCCATGTTTATTGCTGCATCACTCACAATAGCAAAGAGATGGAAAAACTCAAATGCCCATCAACAAACGAATGAATAGAAAAACTATAGTATATTCACACAATGAAACATTATGCAACATTGAAAACAGTGAAGTCATAAAACACTACACAACATGGGGGAGGCTGAAGAACATTATACTGAGTGAAATATCTTAGTCATAAAAGGACAAATACTGCATAGCACCACTGATATAAAGTAAGATTGACATGGGAGGTTGGGGGAATAATAGGAAAGGAGTGGATAGATAATGAAAGATAATTGGAACAGTTAAGGGGAAGGATTGCCTGAAAGGGATGTATGATTAGGCATTATATGTATAACATCAATCTGGAACAAGAGGTGCATTGCAAAGTGGACTGGGAGAGGGGGAAGAGAAGGAGGGAACAAAATATGCAACAATGAGTGAATGAATGATGAAAACCCAACCCTTTCTGTAAACCTTTGTTAAAATCACAATTTTAAAAACTAAAATAATATGCATTTTTTAAAAATATGGAATATAGAAAGAATAATTTTTTTTATTTTTTTTTTTAAAAAACCAGGCTACTCCTTGGAGGCAAGGATTCTGGGGCTTCGTCTGACATACTTTGGACATGTTGTAAGCAGAGACAGGTCCTTGGAGAGGAACATCATGCTTGGTAGGGTAGAGGGACAGTGCAGGAGGGGAAGACCCTCTATGAGGCAAATTGATTCAGTGACTGGGGTAATCGGGATGGGTGTGTCAGAGGCCATGCGATTGGCACAGTATAGAGCAGGGTTTTGGGCTGTTGTACATAGGGTCGCTATGAGTCACAAATGACTCGACAGCACATAACAACAACAACAGAAAGAATAATAAGTACTCTAGTTTCTTAGTTTTTCCAATAGAAAACTATATAAAATTTTATTTCATATAAATAAAATTAGGCAAGTAAGTCTTAGCACATCATTTAAAGTTATGATGGATTCATAAAAAATTCTTTCAAAATATTCACTAGTATAACTGAAAATAAGCTTTTATTTATTGATATAATTTATGGATAAAATTGTCATAGGAAAGAAAACAAAAAGAATACATCTTAATAAAGAATGAAAGAATAAAACAGAAAATTAAGATTAAGATGAAAAATAACTTTTTAAAAAATTAAGGTAATGCAATAACTGTCTCTTAACATATTTTCTAACTTATTACTAAACTTTAAAAATTTTATTATTTTTGTGTGTGTGTACCATCAAATTGAATCTGACCGGTACAGAAAGAGATTGCCCCTCCTTCTCCAGCAGACCATCTGGTGGATTTGAACCTCATACCTCTGGGATTGCAATGCAGCTTCTTTCCACTAAGCCACCAGATCTCTCTATTACTAGATATTTTAAAAAAATAAAAAATAAAACATATCCATGCTTCTCTCCTCCATATTTTCTTTCGAGAAGAGGGGTCCATCCCTTTGGGAATATAACTTTAATAAATCTATCTGACTATAAACTTCATTACAGAAAAGCTAGGAACAACACTAGAAGTCCTAATCCACAACATAAACAGTCTTCCCAGTATCCTGGAAAAGCTACAACCAGG